TGTACCACATTGGCTGTGCCTATAGACACAAAGGCACTTTCCTTGTAATTCTTATTAGAACTTCAGTTTCAGGCACTGACTCCCTGGTTCTGCCTATACCCAGCTAAAAAAAAAAAAAAAAAAAAAAGTTCAATCAAAAGCCACACCTAAGAAAACCCACACCCACTCACTACAGTTTGACTTCAACAAAGGTGTATGCTGTGATACACTACTGATATCCAGAAATTAATACACCTATCTATGAGTATGGATATTTTGAAGAAACAGAAGACTAGCAAAAATATCTAGACACCAAAGAAAAATTCATATCTTATTAAAAATATAAATGAAAGCTGAAAGGAGACTAGTTGACTTTAACAGCTTTCAAACTTCTTGATTTCTTTCTACACAGAGATAAAAGACAATGCTGAGCATCCATGACAAAAGCATCCATGCGTAACTAAATAATTTATGGTACTGACAATGACACTAATGTGACTTTTATATAGAATAAGCAATTAGACTGCTCCTGATAAAAATAAAAGCAAAGCAAAACCACCACAACCCTCTCCTTGAAAAAAAGCCCAAACAAAAACACTCCACCCAAACCATTCAATAAAACAATTCAAATCCAAACTAATAAACATCAGTATATCTAGTAATAATATAGATCAGTATATCTAGTAATAATATAGTAAAAATCTTCATTTTAAGGTAAGCAATAATTGAAATCTGGGAAAAACGAAGAAAGAAAAGGCCACTCACATGTAAATAATGTAGCTATTAACAAGTTAATAAGTTTTTACTTGATAGATTTTAGCAAAATTTGTGATAAAAGTTTCATAGTTTGCATCATTCACTTTACAGACGCAGGAGATTGTTCAATTAATACTGTGTAAATGTTGTCCTACAGTGAGTCATCAAAATTGTATAGTGCTGATATATTCCTTAGAGAAAAATTAGAATAGATTTAAATACTCATCCAATTAAAATACAAAGTCTTAAGCAATACTCTAAAGGAATTTTAGCTTCTAAGTGGAAATTCAGCATTAAATCGAGCAAATACTTGAGCAATAAGGTCATTAAATTGCCAAAGACAGCTGTTCAAATGCTTTAGGCAAAGTGAGACCGTAACACACTGAAAATGATGTGATCCCAGTATTAAACACAGAATAACTCGATTGTTACAGGTTGTTACAACACATTTGCAAAATTTTGAAAAATCTTCAATTTATTATAAACCAATTAAAATCCAAATGCAAATAGCAAAAGAAAGCAAATAACTAAATAGCACACAAAGAAAGCCTCTTAGAAGATTATTTCAGGTGGATTTTGTGGTGACATTAACTCTGGCTTATTTAAGATAATGCATGCAAACCTGATATTCAAGCTGCTGGAAGATAGTTTCCTCCACCAGCAAAAAATGTTCACATATAATGAAAAAGTTAGTAGAATGCTATTCCCATCAATATACAAGTATTTAACTAAAGTTCCTGTTGCAGTACTACAATTAGATCAGAAAATTAATAAGAACAGCAATTTTCCTTGCATGCAATAGTCTACATTGGTCTTACTATGAAAGATAAGTGACAAGAGCTTGCAATAAAGGAGTTAATTTCCTTTAAACATTCTCTTTTTGAAAATGATTCAAAATACACATTATCATCACAAGCACGGTTTGCTGTACATATTAAGTTGCACAGAAGGGCTCAAGAGAGAAATTCCCCTTGTAGCATAGGCATTGACAAATCCAATTTCTACAGTAAGATTATCAAAAGGATAATTATGTTACAAGTGTTGTCCCTAAACTGTTAAGTTAGATTTCACAGTTTTTTACTGTTAAAGTCAACAAAAAGTACTAGAACTAATTTTATGATGTATCTGATTTTAGAAACTGTGATTATTATTTATTACAACTAAAGTCAGTGAGGTCTGAGATTATACAAAACAAGAAAACAAAAATTAATTCCTGCAAAGGCATTTTCAAGTACTCAGTAAGTCTCTATCAATTAAAGAGCAGTTAAACTGAGTTTGCAGAGAACGCATGTTTATGAACATCACAGGCCTAGATCATCAGGCTAGGACACTGTAGTTCTAAAAAAATCCCAGTTTATTAATATATAACTTTCATCTCCATATAAAGTACATGCTTTATAAAAGACAACTTGATACTTATAGACCAGTAATGTCAAGAAATCAGGTGTGACCAATAGCATAGAAATGAATCCCTGTATTGATTGTTCTGTCTGAACATGTATGTCAAGTCTCAACAGAAATATTTCTCTTTTCTAAAAAGCAACTATAGAAATATACAAGTAATTTCAGGTCCTGACCCATTACATTTTGTAATTAGTTACAACTAATTAATAGAAATACTAAAGAAACTAGATTAACTGTTTCATCCTCTTGTGAATATCATGCAAAAAAATGCTAACTTTTCAATCTAGATTTCCATGAAAACACTAAAGACTGACAGGAAATCATGAAGCTATTGGGTAAAACCTGGATATAACATCACCCTTTTTTTAATTCTGCAGGTTCAAAAGATACTCAGAAACATCTAACTAAAAAACTGCAGTTGATTTTTCCTGGCATAAAGTAGAAATCAAGGATCATTCTATTCTCCCTAACTAGACAGCAACCCATGTATTGATACTACATAGAAAATGTTATAATTTTCTGTTTATGTTAGCTTAGAAAAACACTTAACATGAAAGAAACACTAACTCTACACTACCTCACTCTACACATACATCCTTTTCTGTCCTCAGGGTATTGTAAAAGTAAGGTTACTTTTTCTGGAAGCTGTGGTTAAGAGGGCCAGAAAATGTAGACCACTTTAGTTATTACAAAATCTATAAGAATTTCTTAACACAAACTCAAAGTCATGATATCTTTCTTAATCTGAAGGGTTAAACTTTAGAAACTAAATATTCCTGTTTTTTATTGTACAAGGATTGTGCTAAAGTCCCAAAAAACTTTTCAAACAAGAGAGGGGGGAAAAAGGGGGACTGGAATTTATTTCAAAAATTGCGTAATTTACAGAATTTACTGAGTGGATTACCTTTAGCAGATTTCTCTCAACATAAAGAGAAACAGTACTGAAATTATATAAACTCTCACCTTAGTATGAAATATTATGAAATAACCTTGAAAATTACTCATTACTAGAAGGCTCAGACAAGTTCCATTAAGGGTTTCGGTTTCTGAAGGCTTTAATGTATTTCACAGACAGCACACTCCAGAATAGCGCTGGTCATAACTATTTTTTCAAGCACTGCACTCACAGAACACTTTGACACTACCCGTGGCAACATACGTGACTAAATCCATACAAGAAACACCTGGGCAAAAGTGTTCTGACTTTCACTCCCCTCAACACCACTACTGTACAACTGTATTTTGTGTATCTTGAAATAAAATTGTCTCAAGCCCCACTGATGTATTTGCCAGCTAACTCCCTTGTCTGCTGAACTATGAAAGGTCACTAAACCACAAAACTAAAAAGGAGAAGTCAAAAGAAGGCTCAATAGACAAAGCAGTGACTCCAGGCCTCCTTCTGACCGTGCATCACCTCCAGCACTCCTGCTGACTTTTTGCCAGCTTCTCAATAGATCCTGTCAAACAAATGCCTCCTGGAAAAAATAGGGTGCCAGGCAGTCATTTTTCTTTAAAGTTATTACTGCTGAATACATTAGTTCTGATACATAAAAAGCTGCAAGCAGTACTGTTTCTACTACTTGAGAGTACACTATAGTGATCAAATGTGGGGCTTTTTTAAGAAAGCCAAAACTTCTGAATACAAAGGCTGTTGTAATACCCCTCCAAACCCTACATGGTACACTGCTTCATCTGACTCCTCCTCTGCAAGTAAATGCAGTTCTACTTCTGCTTATATCTGCCACAATGACTATACTTCCTTTATCCACCACATCAGCACACTATAGCAAGACTTTTAATGAGAATACTTTAAAAACAACAGCAATAAACCCCAAAGAAGAAATAAAGGGTCCCAAAATATCAGTCTAATGGAATTTAGGGAAAGTATCACCACTAATTTATCGTCTGACAATATTTTTATGCCAACTGAAAAATACATTTTCATTACAAAGATGGAATGACATTAAGCAATCTTGCCAAAGCAAAAAAGATAATCCCACATCATAACATGTAATTAAAACCACATGGTTCCCATAGGAACAAATCAGGAAAACAAATAACTTGGTGATGGACACAGCAGAAGAACACGAACAAAACTGGGTAACTCAATGCTCAAGAAATGTTATTTTGGTAAGAGCAAGATTTCCAGAACTTCTAAGTAGCATGAAAATAGTCTAACAGTCTGACTGACATAAAAAATAACCTAGGAGGTTAATAATTTTTTTTTATTTTAGAATAACTTAACAAAATTCATTATATGTGTGATGCACAAATAAAAAAATTACAGATGCATTAAAACACATTTCCTGAAGAATTCACTTCACATGTTTGCTTGAGGGTTGTTTTTTCCCCACAGATTCTTCCTTCAGGCTGCTATGCCAAAGGCATTCAGGAAAATCAATTCACACAGTAGTGCTCTATATAGGATCTATTCTTCTATACAGGTGGTGTCTGTTCAGCATGTGTCTGATCAACTGGGTACCCACTCTCATAAGCACAAAATATAGTACTTTCAGATATTCAGATACATTCTGAGAGCATCATAATATCCAGTATATATCATAATATCCAGAATTCTCTTAAACAAGTATAGTTGATATTTGTAGAGTGTCACAACTTGCTGAAATCCCAAGGAAATATTCCAAGTTCAGTCTCTCTGAAAAGGATTTGGAGGAGGATAAGGATTGAGAGAAGAGTGATAGGACAAGTCCAGGACAACTTGGCTGTCATCTATAATTTATAAGTTAATTTCATAATCAAGTCAGTCTCTCAACATTATTAAATTATTCTCTTTCAGATTTCGTTTTAGTTTTAATATATTAAAATGTGCCAGAAAACTTAAAGAAAATGGGGGAATGTTTTGAATATTCTATTTATTACTTTATCAGTATATATAAAATACCAGCAAAGGCTGAAAAATGCGAGTCTGCAGTTCATAAATGTTAGAGATTCTTTCCTGATGGCATACGTTTGTCTGACAGAAGGGGAGCAGTATCTTTGTGAAATGAGTTATCCACCTACATAGTTCTGCCAAGGCCAAACAGTACAGCAAGCCCCTCTCAGGACATGTGAGCATTAGTTTGCTTTTCAGACATTCAAGCCCTGCTGTATTTTTGAACTTACCCTTATTAGCTGGTTAGAAGCTTATTTAGCTCATCTTCTCCCTTCTGCCATGTTTTTCACATCACTTCTGCTGAGAGGAGAGCAAAAGTTGCTTCTGACAACACCAACCACTCCAAGCCGAGCTGAGCTGAAGGTGCCAGCTGGAAACAGCACAGATAAGCAAGAGCAGGGTCTGAAACTAACAGTTTGATTTTTAAATGCTGTTATCTGCAGTACTTCTGAAAAGCTGAGCAGAAAGACAGAAAGTAAAGCTCTCAGCATAAGCTGAGAAGAATGATGAGACAGGGATAGAAGGTTTATTCCACACTAATTTTAATTCTTGTGGATCCAAGCTCTAAAATTAAGAAACTTACCTATAAAAGAGGAAGCACCTGTGCACTATAACAACAACAACTAATCATCATCATCATCATCATCCTGCAACAAAGTCCTGACAACTGCCAAGGCTGTGTTCAGTTGCTTCTTAGTCTGAAAGCAAGTCCAAATTAATTCCCACCTTAGAATGAACTAACAAAACTGTGCTCTGAGTTTCTGACTGTCTCCAATTAGTTTCAAATAACTTTAAATATTGCTATAAGGAATTTTCTTTCTCAGAACAGGCATGAACCATCCAGGAAACATAAATAGCACATGAGGCAGGAACAAAAATTACCCAAAAACTGGGCCCAGGGCACCTAAAACACATAGAAAACACAGAAGTAAATTGACAGAACTGACTGCACAGCCAAATACCTTGGACTTCTGTTAGCAGAGAGTTTCAACATCTGTTTTCATCAAGGGTATTAAACATGTCCCTAAATACTCTGAAAAACACTAGGCAAGACAAACAACACAGACTAAGGCAAACAGGTTTAACTCCTCCTGAGCAAGAGCTCCCTAAACAAACAATTTAAAAAATAATAAATAAATAAATAAAAATAAAATAAAAAAGGCAAAAAGCTCAAACTATCACAATTTTCATTCTTAATTATTCATATTGCAGTATTATTTAGGGGAAAATTGAATTATTTTAACCAGCTGGAACTACTTGTATCCCAGTAATTTTTAATAGAAAAACTAGGTTTAGAATTAAAGCAGAATTGCCATTTACATCACTAAGATATGGATCAGTGTTGCTGTTACTTTTTACCAATCTGTCAGTGATGAAGGATACTTACCTGAAGTGAATTCTCACCCTGCATGAATCAATACATGTATTAGAAGTACAAAAATAGTACTAAGTAACAGTCAAAAAAAAAAAAAAAAAAAACTTGGAGGAAATTGGACAAAATGGACAAAACCATCCGTCATCAATATGCAAATAAAGCATCAATTGAAATCAAGATTTGAATATAAATAAGGAATTTGTGTTCAGTGCATTATCTTCAAGTGTCCATGTCCCCAGTCTAGGCCCAAATGATCAAAATATTGGTTTTTAGAACACTAAAATGTTTCACCATTCAAGAATGTTTCTTTTTTTCCATTTTTGTGCTAATTGAATCCCATTTTACCAATACTGCCAGCAATTACAAGCCACATTTTTTGGTGAGTAAGCATCGTAACAAAAAGGATCTCACCCAGCTCTGTATAGAATACTGGCTTCAAAGTATGAAATCCCTCACCAAGGGGCACTTTGTACCCAACTCATCAGAGTGCCCTGGACCTGCTCCCAATTCAGGTTGCACAAGCCATTATCAGGGCCTAATTTAATTTCTTCTCACTTCTGATAAACTTCACACAAAATTACCTAAAAGCAGGTAACTTGTTACACCTGTTAAGAGGCTTGGCCCAATCTCTTTCATGCACTATGAAGAAAGAAGTTTCAGAAATACATTATATAGCCAATGTTTTAAGTTACCAGAATAAAGATACTCTCACTCAAAGAACTATAAATAGGCAGGAAATGAGCATCACTTTCACAAACCGAGATGAGGTAGACACTCATAGTATTAAACTGAGAGGTCTCAGATGACTAGATGACTAGTCACTCTAGTCAAAGATGACTAGATTAAGTATTTATGGATTTCTCTCATTTTCCTTAAATTTGCCACCAAGGTTTACTTTAGAGTATTCTCGTTTAACTCAACTCCACAATAAACTGACTTCATTCATCTATGAGATTTATGCATTTCTTCGTGCAGAAGTGACCTCATGTCACTATTGTGTATTTAGTGATAAGAAGGTCTCATTCCAGCAATAAAGCCATGTGGAACACATTACTCCAAGGCCTATTAAGTATAAAACATTCAGTATTTATTTACCACATTGAGGGAACAGAGTCCTTAAAAGGTTATTTAGACTAGAGCATGGAGACTAAAATATTCCCAGCGTCCCATTGATTTGACAGCCTGCCATAACTGTCTCATGTAGTCTTAATTGGAACACAATACACACACACATACTGTCTTCTGGGAAAACATTCCCAATTACAAAGAGCCACAAGAAGAGCAGCGCTGCCTTTGACAGCTGGAATGCGCACATTGTCATAATCCTACTATAAGTGAAAGGTATGCATCTTCCTGAGCCTACAAAAGGTGCTGTCAGGGTGAATAAAGTCAGTGTTGTAGCCCCATCCACCTGCGTGACACGCTGATGACTCCAGCTTTTGCTGAGGGGGAGGAAAATTGCTCGCTGTTTTTCTTTACCGATATAACTCATACATCATTCAAATCAGAACCAGCATTTGGGGGAAGAAAATGCTTTTCAAGTCTTCATCTCCATTGCAAATATAACAGCTCCACCTTGAGGCAGGACCCAGTGAATGTTAGTAGAAGGTATCTTCAGCCTGGCTGTTGAAGATACCTATGAGTATACAGTCATATAGCACACACAACTACCTAAAACATGGATTGACATCTCCCAGTGTCCCTTTCTGCTCATCTTCTTAGCATACAAGCAGGCATGTGTGCACACGATGCATGTGTTTGGACAAATTTACTGAAGAGAAATTAAATATATATCAAATAAACATCAATTTGACAGAGCAGCTCCCAAGGATGATACAAGTCAAGCATAACAAGGTCTGACAGAAATAGTCCTTCAGGAGCAGGAATTATCCAAGCTTTTCTCTGAGAAGTGCACACAAATTTCAGAGCATTAATTTTTTCATTATCATATTCTTCCTAAATGAGGAGTATAAAGATTCATTTAATTTCAATGTTTCATTTAAATCACTATTCAAATATTCTGAGATAACAATTTTAATACACTGCTAAGCATTGTAAGTAAGTAATCTGCTCTTCATGTATTAATGACATTATTTATAGTTAAATGGGTTATTTTAAAAATTTAAGTGCTAAATATCAACTTGCATATTCTTCAGACTACTTCAGGAGTTTTATTTTTAATTGGCAGTGTAACAGTATTTAGGACTCTTCTAATAAATCCAGATCATGTCAGTTAGATTGGCAAGTCCAGACAGACATAAAACCTGTGTCGCATTTAAATGGGTGTTGATTAGGGTACTGAGATAGATTGATTATGGCATACATTGCATATTTACTTGAAGATGATCAGTAAGTGGAAACAGGATTTGCAGCAGGAAATCAGAGTAAGTTACACCTCTAGAACAAAATGATAAAAGAATAATCATCATCAATTGAGTTGACCACCCTAAAGAAGGCACGCAGTCTTTGAGAAATGACTGGAATTAGCCATTTGTGCTGGTTTTAGCTGGGATAGAGTGAATTTTCTTCGCAGTCGCTAGTATGGGTCTGTGCTTTGGATACATACTGAAAACACTGAAAACACTGTCGCAATACAGAGATGCTCCAGTTATTGCTGAGCAGTGCTTACAGCCAGTCAAAGCCTTTTCTACTGCTCACACCTCCCCACCAGCAAGGAGGCTGTGGGGGCACAAGAGGCTGGGAGGTGACACATTTGGGACAGGCTGACCCCAACTGACCAAAAGGATATTTCATATCATCTGACATCATGGTCAGCACATGAAGCTGAGGAAAGAAGGAGCAGGAGGACATTTGGAGTGATGGCATCTGTTTTCCCAGGTAACCACCACACACAACAGGGCCACACTTTCCTAGAGATGGCTGAACACCTGCCTGCTCATGGGAAGTAGGAAACAAATTCCTTGTGATCTGTGTGTGCACAGCTTTTGCTTTCCTGATTAAACTGTCTTTATCGCAATCCAAGAATATTCTTACTTTTACTCTTCCAATTCTCTTCCCCTCAGGGAGAGGGGAGAAGTGGGAGTGTCTGTGTGGTGCTTAGTTGTTGGCCAGCGTCAAATCACAAAATCATTCTGGAAAACAAAAAACAGAAAGAAAAATTACAGGGGGTTGACAGAAGCACAACTTTGAAAACATGCTAAGACAGTTATTTTGCAGGTTAAAAATATAAGAGATAAAAAGAGAAATTTTGCCCTATTTAGGTGAATGGGAATTCTGCCATTAAGACTTAAGAAAACAATCCCATCCTTGGGATATAGCATGACTCATTCTCTTTTCTCTCAAGGGTATAGAAACTCATTGTAACCTTACCAGCTTTGACAAGAGCTCTCTAAGACTGTAAATATTGCAAAACAATTAACCTAATTTATAAACTAATTAAATCCATTAACCATTGAAGACAATGAGAAGCTTCATTAAAAAAGCCTTTTTTGCTAGTTCCAAGATGACAGGAATGTTAAAGAGACTTTACACTTGGATAAAGAAGAGATAATTTCCTATTTTTTATTAAGTGAAGAGTAATACACAATCAAATTTATTAATCATTTCTAGCCCAAACTATGACTTTTCAAAAAAGAAAAAAAAAATACAGGGCAAGCCTGTTACTTTCTTTGCAAAATGCTTTATTTCTAACTGTATTAAGGGAAACACAAGGTTATCTTGATGTGAAAATGCGGCACAAAAATAAGCATTAGTTTGATTTTAAAATTCAGTCAGCATCTATAATTTGCAATGCAATCTCTTTTATGGCTTATTAAAATAAGTGTTATTGAAACATAATTTTAATTCTATACAGCTGAACAGACTCATATATATTTATGACTGCAACAGATGTTTCTACGGGCTCATTTAGATCGCTTCTCCTTGCATTCCCCTCAGCTGATGAGGTGCCCTTCTATGTTACAAGGAATTCCTTTTACATCACAGTGGTACAGCTGGTTAAAAACACCATCTGCACTCGTAAATGCCTGGATTGTATTTAGCCACAACACACAGAAACTGAGAATGCCTGCTTAAAGCTGGAGATGAAGTTTTATATTATACTGGATGGCATTTGCACACATTCAATTTTTAAGTCCCTAAGTACTGTTTATGTTGTCAAAATAACTCAAAGTAGGATTTTACAGGCAATTGTTCTGTGGTGGCCATTTAGACCAACACAAGATCAAACTGTGATTTAACCTTTTCTTTTCCTAATCAGTGCTTTTCAAAAATGAACATCATAAGTAATAGGAAAAACTTTACTCATTTCAAACTCATTCTTTAAGACTATTATTTTCAAAAGCAGTTCAATTGATAAATTCCATTTATAAGGGTCAGTAACTCACACACAGTCCATAACATTATTTACTGCCACAGTGCAGTGAAGCCCAAACACACACACTGGGCTCCCACTGCCTGGTAAAGAGCAGTCATAGCTTATTTCTAGAAATTGGTTTCAGGAGTTCTGATCTCCACAGGGCTCACTTCAATGTAAAACATGCAACTACCTCAATATAGCCACTTATCCAAAACAAACTAAAATCTACTTTAACCTGCTTCTTCATCCACAGGACTCATTTCTGTTAACTACTTTAGTTCCTCTAACCAAATCAGAAACGATACATTTATGCTCTTTACTGCATTAGTCCAAGCATTTGTTTTCTCACAGCTTTTTCCCCCAACTCAAACTAACTTATCTTGGAAGAATTATAGCAAGTAAAATTACTTCTGTATTATATTAATAAGGGGGGAAAAAAGTGTTTATATAAACACTTTTGTAGTTTACTGAAACGACAGGAAATTTAAAAGACATTCAGACATATTTTTAATTCATCTGATATTGATTCACTATTAACAAAAGTTCAATCTGTATCCTGAAAACTTTTTCACTCATATTTTAAGGAAGAAACAATTCACCTAAGAAAGCTTTACATATATAATTTTATTCTTCTGCAAAGGGGTTGTTTAAGCAGTTGCTCTTTAGTGACCTCCAGTCTATCCTTTTAGATATTGAAAATCAGCCACAAGAAGAGTAGGTAAAGTGTGATGCTGAGCATTTTGCTGCAGAACACAAAATTGTCTAACAATTTGTAAAGATCACTCATGTCACGAGATATTACCATGTTTTCAAACGTTACTATGTTGCTAATCTTTTTGTAAAAATTACATCTGTTCTGCAGCTTCTCCATACACAAAAAGCACCCAACCTTTAACATAATAATCAAGAAAAAAAAATTCATTGTTTCTTTTATGAATCCTTTCAAAGATATTTTCTGGACTCCCAGGTCTGTATTTCATAGATTTAATTCACCAAAGTTGATAAAATTTCCAGCAAGTGCGAACTTTTACTTCTATAACCTAAGAATTTTGAAAACACAACACATGGATGATTTGATGATTCACCTCTGCAACAATAGTCACTTTGAAGAAAACACATGCCTGGTACTTATGGCTTCTAGAAGCCCTTTTACACCCATGGGAGAAAATAAAATAATTACCACAGAGAAAAGCAACTTTAGAAGGATCTAAGTACTCTCAGTCTTGTTTGTTGTTTTATGTGTGGTTGGGTTAATTTTGTTTTTAACATTTAACTGCACTGAAGTGGCAAACTTCAAGGGTATTCCTGAAGAAAGGTCAATTTTGCCCTACTGAAATAAACAGGAGTATTAGGTTGACAGCTTAAAAGGACAGTATTTTCTAACCTATTCCACTATTGAGAAACTTTATAATTCAAAAACATAATATGTAGAACAAGAGGGATTAAATATGTATCAGTAAGGAAATTTCTTTCTATTGTTCAGAAATGATTAGCAGCTCTATTAGTCTTCTGGTTCACCTTTGATTAATAGCAGACTTTAATTTGGAAATCTTTATAGAAAGAGAGAAAAATTTATTTTAATAATTAGACATTAAAAAAATAATTTTACCTATAGCTTCTCCAGAAGTCTTGAGGAGGTTTATTTGTTACAAACTGCTGCACTTCAGGTTACTCACAAGTGAATTCAGAATCTTAAAGCTGTGCTTTGGTCACCGCTGTCATTCACTTTAGCTACAGGATTTAGTGTCAAGTCATGACGGGAGAAGAAAACAACTATCGCATCTGTTCGAAGCTACACACCCCAGTAAAAATGTCTCCTCATACTGGAAATTGCAGTAGTTTTGTTAAGTCTAAGAGTCTGATCTACTTAAATAAGTACTTCTGGTGAATGAGTGTCTGACGAGGCTATCAAAACAAATCAGAGATAGCATTAACATTTTTAGTGGTGTCAAGATGTTGAGTCTACCTGTCAGGTGGTAGTCTTGGCTAAGATGGATGCCTAAAACACATCTACTTGTTCTCCAATCCATTTTTAGGGAGGCAAAACAAATTACTTCTGAGCCAAGAACTGTCTATCCCATACAATGACACACCTTCTATTTTATTTCAGTCTGAAAGAAAGCAGACAGCACTTGTGTCACAAAGCAGTTTCATTGTCAGCTTTAAAAGACTCATCTCCAGCACTAATTCTGCTTTTCAGAAGGCAAGTGCTCCAAGAAAAACCTATAGAAATTAAATAAATAGAAGATTTCCATCAAATCTCTCAGAATGTAATGATTGCCATTACACAAAATAGTTCCATTGAGAGTATGTATAAAAGGCAGAACAGATTTGACCCTGTCTTGTCCTTCTTCTTCTTCTTCATAAATATGGCTGATGGCTTTATTTAGCTGATTACTTATGTTCTGCCAGCTTGTTTGCAAGGTTAGTATTTGGGGACATTGGTATTATTCATAATAGCAACAGAATTATGAAGCGAGATCTTTTTCTTTAATCAATACTATTTCACATAAAGTGCTAAATTTAGAGATAACGTGAGATTTCTCAGTTCTAAGGTATTTAACAGCTGAAATTCAGGCCATATACAGATGACATGTTCAGGGGCTTGGATGGCCAAATTTACGCACAAGTTAAATCTCTAAAACATATTTTGTTTGTCTTAAATTTAAGATTTCCATCCCATTCTGATTATGTATATAATATAATATTGTATTGTATAATATAATATCTATATTATATAATAAACAGAGTTATAAATAATGCAACAGATTCTTTCTGGACCTGCCAACAGACTGAATAAAACTGTCTTATACAGTAAACCTAAAACTCAACTATGACATACTGAAGACGTATGTACCAATCACTGAAAATAATTATTATGTCACATTTCATGAGAACTTTCCCATCTAAAATCTGAGCACTTCTTTGCTGGGTGTATTTCCTTTTCAATTCAAGAGAATGCTGCAGCAAAATTAGAATAAGAGACTAGTTTTATTTCCAAACATATTACTGACTTCACTAAAGGAAAGTGCAATAAAAACAAAACAAGAAATTGCACTTGAAAATTTGTCTCATTAGCTCCAGACTTAAGTATAGTGTTAATTAGTTAAATTTCTGAAGAGTTTTGAAATAGCAAACCAAGATAAAAAAAAAATAATCAGAAAATAAGTTCTTCTGAAAAGAACTATCATAATATAAAAATATCTTGGTCTAATATTCTGCATTTAAAACAGTATTAAAATATTAATATTAAAAACAGAGCACTAAAGGAATAATGATTACTTAATAATATTGAAAAATATTTTAATACTTATCATGTACCTTGGGGTTTTAGTCAAAGCTTCTGTGAGAGAAAAACAAGCCTGGGAAAGAATGTGAACATCCTTCATGAATTACTAGAGCCCCAGCAAATTACTGTGGATATCCAGGCAACCATTCACCTGCTGCTATTAAATGGGAAAAGAACAGTTACCTTGGCAACTGCTGTATCTCACATTACACTGTGCTATTTCCAAGACAAAAATATGGTCTTAGGAGAGAGTTGTGGAGACCCTGTGGGGTTTACATTTTCACTGGCAATGTCCTCAGGGACACCAAAACAGAGTAATAAAGGCATCCCAGTTCTCAATTAGATAGAAAATAAATGCACTTTCATTATATGAAATAAAATGACAACTAGGTATATTCTGCATCTTAGTTAATATATGGACCATAAAATTTGTAGGGAGGATTTTATTTTGTTTCCTTTAATTTACATAGGGAGAAACTATTCATCTAATTCTTCAGGAGATTCATGTTATAAACACATGTTTTATAGAAAAGAATATAGGCATGTGCTATGTATTTTACAGTGCCCTTAGAATTGTACAGATTCATGTGAAATGCATTATAGGGCACTAACTGTGGCATCTCTTAGTGACTGCAGTCACTAAGAGAACATCATGAACATCAGATAGGAGCTGGAACTACTGAGATTTTAAAGAGCATAGCAAAAAATAATTGTTTTATTACTAAATTATGCACAACTTCCTCTAAAGCAGAAAAACAAAGTTTATATATAAATGTAACATAAAATTAAGAAACCAAAAAGCTCATTTTAAAATGGTTTTAAAAGGTCACAGTTATTATGAAAAAACCCAATTTAACATTTTTTGTACAAGAAGCCTCTATGCTTTGTGTATACTATACCTTACATTACAAGACTGGCATCCAGAACTTAATTAAAATTTCCATTCAAAACATGGGCAGAATTTTTAAAAAGCAATTTAAATAACATTTCCTAAAAATTATGTAGAAGGGTGTCTGCTTCTATTTCTCCACAAACAAATGTACTCACACACCAACATTTTTTTTAAAATAAAAAGCAGGAAATAATTTTTTTAAGGCAAGTACAGGTTATTTAAAGCAAAATTGTTAAGGCAATGAAGATGTGATATATCAAGAAATATACTACAGGACGCTAAATCATCCAATTAAACTCAAGTACCCATTCTTCCACTGAATCAATTTTTTTCCATTCATTGATGACAAAGAATATAGCTTTGTTTCCTGGACCCTGTCAATATTTTCAACCAAGCTGTTATAAGATTAACTTGATTTCAAACACTATTTAAAGTTTGAGGACACATTTTGCACATGAAAGCCTTTCTGTAATTGTGGCTGTAGATCTATTAATTCTATTCATTTGACAGGTTACAAAGATGCTATTCAAGTTCTTTCATCCTAATGTTTTCCTAGATAATGAGAACCTCAGCTTGAAACTATATAAATTCAACCTAAGGAAAAAACAAAGCAAAATCCCTCAACTTCCACAACCCTTTCATCAGGTGAATGTAGCAAAATATATAGCCAGGTTCAGTCAATGGCTGAATTGGAATGATTTTGGTTTTTTTGGGTTTTTTTGGTTTTTTTTTTTTATGTTTTCTTGCACGTATAAATGTTTTAGATCTGGAGACCTTAATTATTGTTTTCCTTTCACACAGTATAGCATAAACTCCTAAGCCTCTCCAAAGTCACTGTACTCTGTCTTCTCTTACCTTCCTTACTGACCACTGCACACCCTTTTTATCTGATGACCACACAGGACCTTAAAAAAAAAGAGTCATAGGCAAACTTTTCCAAGAAACTGTTACAAGTCAGTGCATCATCATCTTTGAGGATCTTGCCTAGATGTCAGAAATTCTGGGGTTTTTTGATTCCTATTGATTTGAAATAGGGATGCAGTTCTCACACATCTCAGATTACAGACCTACTTTTTGGATATTTCTAAGTAAACCTTTCTTCCTTCCATGTTCTACTTTATATAAATAGCATAGTTTAAAAAACTGTGCTTTCATACAGGAACAAAAAACTTATTTTTTTTATGTTTGCTATGATTTATTAGAGTTTCATTTCTGGTGTCCTTTCAGTCTATGGATAAGGTACCAAAGAAATTTTTTTTTTCACACTATTCACAGAATAGGGAGGTACTTTTCAGTGTTACTACATACTGCTTTAGTTCTTACTATTACACTGGCTTTATTCTTCTGTTCATACTAGACAAGCCCTTGAAAACAGCAGCCACTCTCTGTTTTATAGTACTGCCACCCAGTAATGTGGTTGGAGACAAGGGAACATCCCCTGGCCAATCTGGTGAGACATGAAACAGAACCCAAGATTCTATAACATGTGAACAGAAATTCCTTTCAGTTTCTCTTTATAGCAGTATTTGCTGTCCTACAGTCTTGTGTTTTATGGTGGTTAGAGAGTTTAGCTCCCTTTTACTGTCCATCAATCATTGCTGCAAACTTTGCATGCTCGCAGCTACTGCAGGAGGCCACACCAACACAAGGTAAGGTCAAAAGCAACTTCTTGAGCAGTATTTTCATATGACAAACTAGGAGTATCAAGGAAGACCTTAGCACTGCTTGCAACAGAAGAGCTATACTTGTGTATTAACAAGAAATTAATTTCGTACTACTATTACTACTTACTACTTACGAAGAGCATGTAAAAGTTTGTTTTAATGCTTTTACTCAAAACTGGATATTACTAGTATTTCACTAATTTCCAGTTGTCCACTCCTCCTAATTGCATAAGTGCACTTCTGGTGTGCAGATAGAAGTTCAGATGAAGGGAATCACCTTCACAGAGGATTAAAAATTAGAAGTGTCAGTTAACATCTGTTTATTTTATCTTGCTATACTTTTAGAAGAAATAGAACTGTTTATTTCCATGCCACTTCAGCTTACTGATCTGGCTTGTTTCATAAGGCTTTTCAAACACAACACTTTTTCTTTATACTACATATATACATATACATCTTTGAAAGAATAGAGATACTTCTTCCTTTTGAAAGGAAGACAAGACACAAATAAAAAAAAATTTAAAAAAAAATCTCAACAGTTAAGTTAAAAATTTAGGTTATTCAAAACCTGCATGACCTATATTTCAGTCTGATACTTTACTAATCCAGACTTCATCCAATTGTAGTATTTATCTGATGCTCAGTTTCACACAATCATTGATGCCAAAGGATTCAAAATCAAATCTAAAGTCATTAAATACAAATTATAACAAAAAACTCAATTTTGACCTGATGAGAGTAAGAAAATAGCTGACAACAGGAGCCATCCAGTCTCTGTCTCAATCTCAGAAAATGCACCAAATAATCAGAAATCCACCCTTAAGTCTGCTGCTAATTAACTTAATCAATGAAGGATACATATATCTCTGCTACTGACAAGACCTAAGAACACCAAAATCCAAGACTGCAGAATTAAAAAGTAAACAATAATTCAGGAAATTAATTAATAAATATGAATGTTTTAAATGCGGAAAGAATATGGCTAAGAACACATAGAATGATACACAGCATTCAAAAAAGAAAAGTTAAATCTTTTGTTACCACAGCATAAAAGAAGGGCAGCACAATATTACTTGCACAATTATATGCTCCCAAATATTTTCAAGAAGTTTTAAAATAATTTTAGAAAACAATGAAACATATTGTAGAGGTACTACTCTACGATAGTAGGGTACAACAAGAGGTATACTTACAATATAGAGGTACTATAGTACCTCTGTATTGTAAGTTGTGATCAACTGGCAAATTATAAGATATTGTTTTTAATAGTTTGGTGTTGGTTTAAAGAAAAATTTAGTAACCACTAATTTTGGAAAATATTACATGGTTAATTGAAAGTCATTCATCTTTCTCTTACTTATTTCATGCTGCATGTTTCCCACTCATCCTTCTCTAGTGTTTCTATCAATCTAATATCAAACTGGTCATTCTAACAATTTCTGTATTTTATAATACTGATAAACCTCATTTCAGTGATTGCATACCAAAAGCCTAGGAATAATTTCTGCTGTGGAGTACATTATTTCCATATCCTTTAGCTCTGACTCTCTGAAAGTCACATCAAAATATCTTAAGGCTTCATAATGTGACTTTTACAATTACAAGTAACACTGCCTATTACACACAAAGTACTTATTAGATGCAAAGTGTTACCACATCAAGGTGTTCCTATTTTTCTTTCCATGCCTGACCTCCTAAAATAATCACATTCCTTACAAGTTCCACAAAAACTATATTTGTTATTTGTCACCTCCAGTAGAGTCAAATGTATGCCCTTTCTTTGTGTATTTCCTTTGATAGCTTTTTGTGTGATCTTTGAATAGCATTGACCTATCAAGAAAGTGTCTCAGTCTCAGTGACATCAGTGCTTCTAATTTGTCAACATAAAAAAAAACAGCTCTTTGTCCTTATAAAACAAATTGGTTGTTTCTGGATAAACCTATTCATTAGAACAGTTTTAAACTTTAATGATTTACAGCTTTCTCCAATTTCATTGTGTCTTACACAGATAACTGTGGGGCCACTCTCTGACTCACACTTCAATTAAAAATATACTTCTTAGCTGATGAAAAGTACACTTTTAAACATAAAGCAAAATTAGAAATATTTTTGGTTGGCTTACACTAAGTTCATTATTTTCAAGATATTTGGAGCTTTACAAAAATACCATTTTTCACATTCCATATTTATTTAATTTATTTCCTGAAGAGATAAGGTAATTGAGGTGCTACTTTTTCAGTATTGTTTGGCTTCTCGTCAGTAAAGCCATGTTCCTCTGTTCCTCATCAAAAAGGGTATAATACATTTGCTTCAAAATTGTTCAGTGATATCATTTGGTTTTGCAAAAAAACAAAATCAGAACTTCATGAAGTAGACACTGTGTAAGTTATGTAGACTCAATCAAAAGCAAATCTTTCAAAGAGACTGATGCAGCTTAAGATCTGAATTTGGAAAAACTAAAAGTATCTGTGTCCCATTGCTTTATACAGTCAGAGAATTTTCTTCTCTATGGCAATACTTGAAATACTTAAAAAAGAAGATTTACAAACACTTTTCATTCACC